TCAGCATCCGAGTATAAGTTCCATCAAGCTTAGTCTCAAGGGTTTTAGTTAATGTCAAAGCAGTTACGCACTCTACATTAATACCGACTCCACAGTGGCGCGAAAGAATCTCCGTTTGATGTTGTCTGGTAGATCAGATTTCCAAATTACATTTTATTCAAGGTGGTTCAGGCTTTAGCTATGCAAATTTTCACATTCTTTTCAGTAGAATGTATTTCACTTCCAAGATATGTAAATGATTCAACAGATTTTATTGATTATCCTGAGACAGTTTGTATTGAGCCATCCTAGTTGAAGCGTATGAATGCAATTTTAGAGGCATTAACATAGAGTCCGACAACGTTGGCAGCATTTTCTTCCAATTTTCTGACAAATATTGAGCTAATATTCATTTTAAACTACCCCAACCAAAGTCGTGGAAATCAAATATCTTGCCCGAGATTTCGTTATATTCTTAATGCCATCTGCAAATGTCTTGAACTAGTTTGCTCTCCGAATATTCTCCCACATCATCTGAATCGTGCATGAAGATGGATTAAATTTTTAAATCATACAGCACTCTATAATGCTTAAAGCTTGCTCGCCAAATGTATCTTCCTCTCACCTACCACGATCATTTTTCAGATTTTATCCCCCCCCCTCACCCAACCTCCTGCATTAAAAAGCCGGTACAATCTGCACATAGCGAAATTCCGGGTTTTACTTTCCGCATGGACAGAAGATAATACTACAAAAAAAAAAGCTGTAATGATAAATAAATCAAGTCCCAAAATAAAGAATAAAAAAAACACATAGCACAAAAGCGCCCTCTACTGTCACTTACCAATATCATTTTCTATTTTTGTCTCCCACTGTCCAGGTCATTATGGCTGTACAGTTGGTACGAACGAACGTACGAAGCCAAAGAGGAGAGAAGAAAAGAAAGGAAAAAATGCTTACTGTCCATGTCACCGATCACGTGACGCTGGAGCCGTTTAGAGGTGCTATCTCTCGGTGCTAACCACAGAACTAATAAGACTGTATTCATACCGGGGGAATTACGCACGACATTACACACGCGGTGGCTCATTGACAGTGTACATAGGCTGGAAGCCATTAGCTATAAGGTTTAAGCCCCTTTTTACGAAGCTTTTAATCTCATTTAACCGATAGAAAATGAAACTACGACGAGGCATGATTGGATCTGCTCGTAGTGTAGCGTTTATCTTGTAGTGCAACTGCTAATGTCTATTTTAGGGCTATTGGATATTAAATTTTAGTTAACCCCTGACTAAAAACTTGTACGCCATGCACTTCTTCTTTATACGCCTTGTCTCTTCAGGGCGTAGGCGATCATGGCTCTCCACAATTCCCTGTCCATTGTGTCTCTTAATAAATTTTGTCTTTTCGTTATTTCTCCTAAACCCTATTCTGCTATCCATCTTCTCAAGCCCGTCTGTGATACTTTGTTTTCCTCTGTCACTCATGTCCTCCGTCTGTCCTGTGAGTATCAGATTTTCCAAGCTCCACTTCCACGTTATCTGCCTCAGACATTCCAACAGTCTCTTCCTGATGTTAAGTATAAGTTTCCTTTTTGGTTTCATTTTTTCTAAAATCTCGTCGCTCACATGTTCGGTTCATGGAATCCTCAGCATTTTTTCTGTAGGTTCAAGGCTCTTCTTCATCTTTGAGAAGATTGTCCAGCCTTATATAAAGAAATATATCACATAACAGTTCAGTACTCTTTTCTTTGTTTCTAATGAAGATTTTCTTTCTCTTAATAATCTGCTTAGCTTTTGGAAGGCATATTTCGCTATCTCAATGCGTCTTCAGATTTCAGTGTCGCACTTTCCGTCCTCTGTTAGAACACTTCTCAGATATTGAATTTTTTGTGCTTCTTTGGTTGTGGTATCCCCGATCTGTAATTTGCACTTTAGGCTCACCCTTTTGTTAACAACCATACATTCTGTTTTCTTGCAGTTAATGTTTAATTTTTTCTTCTAGCTTTCCTTCCTTGCCTTCTGTAGGAGCTTTTGTAGTTGTGCCATCTGAATATCTTATGTTGTTAAGATTGTAACCGCCAGTAAATAATGAATCTTGTTAGGAGATCTAATTATCTCAGAATTACCTCGCTGTCTAGGTTGAATGCGTCCGGTGAGAAGACATATCCTTGTCTTACATCCCTAGGTATTAATTAGTCCAGATTGAGAAGTTCAGAGGATGGCTCCGAATTTTTGGACTATAGAGTAAATTGTTTTTGTTAATTCTTGTAGGGTGCATTTCTGTGGTCTAACTACTCCAGGTATATACAAAAAAAACTTTGCAATATTTATTTCGTCTTTATTAACGAATTTATTTTCATTTACACTATTTATATTTGGAATATTATCCTCATCTTTGTTGTTGTTATCACAACGGTCGTTGTGTCCTCCGGCCTTCCCCAGGTGTATATTGATCTGGAAAACTGTTGTAACCTAGGGAATGTTACTGAATAGAATAATCACACGAAGGTTGGTAAGGAAGGATAAACCCACGCAGTCCGATGTGGCAAAGGGCGAATTTAATGTGGGGAAGTCCCGCTGAAAAAGCGCAAGCAGCCCTACGACAAAGAAGGTCCAAAGAGAGGGTTAAAGGGAGATAACTGCAAATTCGACGTCAGAACATTATCATTGATAACTCTCTCCTCCAATTTGCAGCCTCTAGTTAATATATTCTTAATAGTTGATATAATGCAAAAATATCACAATTATAAAATCGGTCAATAATTATTTAGATCTATTTATACTGTGACTCATGCATGTAATTACAAGTAACCCATAATAATACTTTAAATTTTGAAATCATATTTATTTTTAGCATATGAATTTTTTAAACTTTTTCTAAATCTTTGAAGCCTCACCTGCTATCGTCTTCCGCCGCACCGTTTGGAAACCACTGATGTATATTCTTTTTTTTTTTTTTTTTTAATCACAGGTAAAAATACGATAGTGACTCATTGTGTTCATAACTAAGTGCGACAGGTATAATTGAAGGTGTTCTTTGCCAGGGAACAATGAACACAAGCCTTCAATCGGAAGGAAGTAGCACTTCTTCATTCAGCTCTGAAGTTGGATCGTAAATGCTTATGTGTAGTTGGCAATCGTCATTTTCCGGAAACTAATGAAACTGGCTAGCTAATCCATATGTCTCAAATGTACCTTAGTTGGCAATGCAGATTAGAGCAGGTCGATTTTGAAACCATGGTATTGCACTCAATTCGAAAGTTGGAGTTTGGCATAATAAGTAACGACATTTTTTGAGGAGATGAGTTTAAAAATTAAATTTTAGGTTCAAAATTCTAGCGTTGGAATTTCATTACGATTATCAGTAAAAGCCTTATAAAATTTATTATTTACTGAAGCTTAACTAATTGTATATGAACAAGCACATTATTACAAAAATCATTGTACCATCAAATAAGACCTTCAGTTACTTCAAAGAGAAATTATACTGAACAATTTAGCTATATTATGATGTAACTTATAGAGGACAATAGTTTTAGTGTGATTTTCAATACACAATGCAAATTTAAAACATTTTGTCTTATAATGTGTGCCCATCAGTATTATGGTGTTATATACATATCTGCTTTTTGTTTTATTATGATCTAACAAGTTTTATTCACTGGGTAACCTTTTTGTAATCTTTTACATTTTTACAGAGTTTTTACTTATCGAATGCAGTACAATAATTGCATATTTTGCTTGTGACGATTCGTAATTAGAATTCTGGTTTTAATACATTTTCCATTCAATGTATTTAATACAAAAATATCAACTTTATTTGGATTTATTCTTGAAATAGTAAAATTTTGAAGTCAGTTTCTAAGCAAAAATATGCGGAAATTAGATATTTCTGTACATTTTTTTTCAAGCAATATTTAAATGTAAATGCTCAAAACTTGGTAAAAGCTATGAATTGAGTTTTTGGCGTCAGTACCTCTGATATTAAACCCAAGCTTTCACACAGAGTGCAATGTGGATTTTCTAAAACTTGTGAAAAAATCTAACTACTCGGGTACAGTTGATTTTTTTTTTTTTTTCAATATTCATAAAGTCAATCTGCGGTTTATATTGCAACTGGTTCTCGTACGATCACCGAAGTTAAGCAACGTCAGTACCTAGCTTGTGAATACCAGGTGTTGTTAGCTTGGATGTATGGCTGGTGTAATGGATAACAGTTAGAAATTGGAAACCAGAGAGACGAGTTTCAATTCTAGTTAGATTAGTTATATTTACTTACACGCAAATAACCTTGGTAAAAGTATGCATCCACCTTCTCACTCCCCAGATATGGGTTAATTAGTGGGATTTGTATCAGTAAATAATTATTATCTCCAAAACAAATTCTTTACAATCTACCTATATATATTTATTTATTATGCAGTGTTACATTAGGACATGTTCATACCCACTACAAAACTGTACATCTTGTTTCAACGTTAAAAAATATTTTTTAACGTTTCATCAGGTGGAAAATCACGATGCTACGGCAACTGTACTGAGCAGACTTTAGTTTCTAGAAGAAACAGCGTAATCAACCCTCAGTCACGATGACTTTTAACTTCTTGCTCATTGAACTATTAACTGCTACAGGACAGTTTCGTCGTCAGATGCAATCATACTGAAAAAAGGCGGAAGAATATATCGGCTGAAATATTAGATTAACATGGTAACAATGTACAACTTAAACTGCAAATATAACTACAATCACATTGGATATTTTTTACAATTATGTTCACCCTCTACAAGCCCAAGAGCCACTCGTGGTAGAGGGTTACATAGTAAGAGGCAGAGTTTATGTGGATTATCCTGAGACTATTTATATTTTATCCGTCGGCTCCAACGAGATATCTTAATTGTGTGCCACGTTTAGATTAAGGACTATTTGTCTGCGTAGGGATTTTTCCGCTTTTCCTTTATGCTTTCATTTGAATTTCGTTTCTTAATTTTTTTTTTTTTTTCGTTATTAAAACTCCCTCTATGCAGCTTTTCATCTATCTAGCTACTAGTTTTCCCCGCCTCTGGTATAGCGTTCCTTTCCGGCTTATTCGCTTCAAACAATCAAAGGAAAACCACTTGTCCACCTCGAGAGAATCAATCCGCGTCCGGCATTTGGTGCTTTAATCCAATGTAGAAACGTGATCGGCGTAAACGGAAGGAAAGGAAGAAAGAAAGAAATATTAATGCCACTCAATGAGATGAATGCGTAACGTATTCGGCTCGATGTCGGGGTGGAACAAGCAATAAATTTAAGAGCTTCAGTTAGCAGGACGATAGATCATTGGACAAATACAGAATAGTGCTAGAGATACATCCAATCAAGACGTCCATCGACTTTATCAGCAACTAGCAAGATAACCTGGCGTTGCACGTGTCAAGTTTCTTTACTTTTCTCGCTGAGTTGTGCAATTGCTTTCGGCCGAGTGGCCGTGATCAAAGCAAAGTATCTGTTCTCCTCATTTTAGGAAGAAGGCGTCTGATCCCGGGAACATCAGCCCTGCAGCAGCACCTTCCTCATTACACTGAGAGAGTTGAGGTTGGTGTAAAATTGAGGCCAGCGTGACAGTAGTCACGGGGACTGCGCTATTTTTTATCATTGGCCAATATATACGCGTATGGGCTCCCCACATCAAAAAATCTTGTGCCACATCCTACCTTAGTGGCGAGGCTAAATAAATAAAATCTTTTTTTTCTCTTTGATCGATTCACTACTTAAAATAGTATGAACGAAATTGCTGTAATTCACGCAGTTCAATAGGTTTGATCTGATATTTAAACAGAAAACTTCATGTCTAGCAGCTTAGTAATCGAAAGTCTTAATAAAGAAAATGCGCCTCCCGATAGGAATCGAACTTTATTCCTTTTTTTTTTTAATCTGGGGAAACCGCTGTCAGATCAGGCGTGATTTACCATTAAGCTACGAGAAGCTATTGCAGCAAAGGAAGGCTGTCAGTGAGATTAGCTTGTTAACCATTGCATTGCAATAGAGGTCTTACCGTGGTTCACTGTCAGTCGTATTTCACCCATTGGGGATTAGATTTCGTGTACTAGCGAATTGGTCTGTAAAGTAGATCTTCGATAGGCCCCATTTCTGCGTTTTAAATTGAATTGCCGTATACGTTGGGAAGGAAGGTTTACTTTGCCCAAGACTACGTTACGCATGAATGAATACCTACCGAGAGACGTGTAAGAAGTTGGTCAGGCGCTCAGCCACGCAGTAACCCTGCGACCAAACCTGTTCATGGGATTGATGATGATATATGGACATGGAGGGCGGTTTTTTAAACATAAAGAGGAAAAATCAACCTCTACTTGCCTCGTCATTCAGGACCTGAGCTCTCATGACAATCCACAACTTTCTATTCTTTGTAGCCCTTAGCTGTTTTTTTTTTAAATCAGTTTGCCCTTTGAGGGTTAAGTTTTCCAAGCCCTCCTTCCTCATTATGTGTCCAAGGAATTTCAATTGTCTTTTCTTAATTATTGTTGTTGCTATTTTCTTAGACTTTCTTATTGTTTACTCGTTCCGTCTATGGAATTTTCAGTATCCTCTTCTTCTTCTTCGTGCCATGTCCCTTCAGGACGTGGGCGATCATGGCTCTCCACAACTTCTTATGCTTTGTAGCCCTTAGCTGCGTTTGTTCCTTTGACAAGCCTAGTGCCCCCGTTCCACCATTCATTTACATTACAGTGGTGGCTCGCTGCCTTCTCCTGTATCTTCGATATGTCCCGTGAGGGTTACTTTCTCCAAGTTCTCTTTCCTTATTATGTGTCTAAGATATTTGCACATATTTCTGATTCTGAGTGTAAGTCTTCATATTGCTGTCATTTTCTTTAACACTCGCTGCCTGCTCTCTTCATCAATGGAATTCACTAAATCCTGCGTAGAACCCCATTTCTATTGTATTCAGTTTTCTCTTCACCTTTTCCGTCCTCTGTTAAATCACTTCTCAGACATTTCAACTTAGCGAGTAAAGGCCGAAAGCTGTATAAATTTCTCTAATTTTAGCAGTCGACGTATATGAACAGTAGAGTCAGTAATTATATAACTTCTCTTAATTTTCTTCTTTCTCTTTCCTTGCCGTACAATGTTTTTCATTTTTATTTTTTTTATTTACTTTTATCACGTTTTCTTTCCTTTCCATTTTAATTTTCTTCGCTTTCTTCAGGTTTTCTCTTCCCGTTTATTTCATTCACATTTTTTTCATTTTTTTTTTTCTCTATTTTACTTCATTTTTCTTTCTTATTCTTTAAAGATCTTCTTTTCCCTATATTTCTTTCGAGTCTTTATGACTTTTGCATTTTTCACTTTGTAATAATTTTTTTTCTTTCAGTTTCTTTCTAGTTTCGCTTAGTTTCATTTTTTTTTTTTTTTTTTTTGCCTTTTCCTCCCATTCTTTTCTTCATTGTTCATTTTTCTTTCTTTTACTTTTTTCTTTTCTTTTTTCATCTTTTATCTTTAATTGACGATCTTCGTCGTTTTTCTTCTATATTTTCTCTCTCTTCCTTCGATATATTTTTTTGTTTTTCTATTTCTTTCCTATTTTGTTTTCTTTCTTCCTTTTCGTATCTTTTTCTTTTCGATTTTTTTGTTTTTCCTACTATTTTTATTTCTTTTCATATCTTTTTCTGTTCTTATTTTTTCTATTCTTTTCCTTTTCATGCCTTTTGCTTTCTTTTTTCTTATCCTTTTTTTTTCTGTTCTTTTTTGCGTTTTCCTATTTTTTCTGTTATTTTTCCTTTTCTTAACTTTTTCTGCTCTTTTTCTTTTTCCTCTCTTTTTCTGTTTTTTCTTTTTCTATATTTTTCGTTTTTTTCCTTTTCCTATCTTTTTCTGTTCTTTTCTCATCATTTTCTCTTCTTTTCTCATCATTTTCTCTTCTTTTTCCTTTTCTACTTTTTCCTTTTCTTATTTTTCCTGACTTTTCTCTTCTTTTTTCTATTCCTATCTTTTCTTTTTCTTTCTCCTTTTCCTATATTTTTCGGTTTTTTTTCTTACCTTTTTCTCTTTTTTCCTTTTCTTCTTTTTCCTATCTTTTTCTTTCTTCCTGTTTTTCTTTCCTTTGTTTCTTTGTTTTAAAATCTACCTTTCTTTTCTTTCTTTGATCTTCTGTTTTCTTCTTCTTTTTTTCTTTTTACTCTCTCCCTTGTTTCTTCTTTTCCTTCATTTGCCTTCCTTTTTCTTTTTTCCTTCTTTCCTTCTATCTCAAATTTCATCTCACCTCCTCCTCTTACTGTTTTCCTTGTCCTTCCTCTTCAATGTCATCACATTCTTTTCACATTTTACTACCGTCTCTTCATTTCTTTCAACCGTTTTTTCCCACTACACCCACACACAATTCCTTTCCTCCACCATTCTTTTCTTTCTTTCTGTTCTTTTCAATCCTCATTCTAATTCGTGCTGAATTCGACGCGGATACAAGAAATCATGTCCGCAATGGACGCTAATACGTCGATGCCTCCATTAAAGGATGTTATTATGAACGACAGATCTGCGCTGTTCCGAGAAATTGCTATTCGAAGGCACGGGATTTTTCCTTGTCTAGTGTAGTAATTATTATGAAATATACGGAAATGAGAAAGGGGGTCAGGCAATCCGAATAATCTTTATCGATGAATGATAGGGCGGGAAAGAATAACTGATAGCAGACGACTTCTCAATTAGTCTATAAACATGCGAACGCATTAAAAATAAGGAATTGTGCAACTTATCCGAGTTCTTGTGAATAGAGCGCGCAGTAAAATTAGACTCATAATGGGACGAGAACAGTCTGGTTTCGTTAAAGACACTGGGACAAGGAATGCGATATTCATACTCAGCATTATATTTGAAAGAGCAATGCAAAAGCATGTATATCTACGTTTTATAGATTATGCGAAGGCGTTTTTATAAAGTATATCGAAAAGAAGCATTGGAAGTACTAGTGTTGTAATGGAATGTCCCACACTCCCTATCGCCTATGTAGACTGACTATATAAGTAACTATATATAGTGAGCACAGGATATACCTGGGGGCTTGCTTCGGGAATTACTAGCCTGCCACCCGATTCTCTGTTTTCAGTAGTGTATTCTTTTTTACAATAAACTTCTCTTCTCTCATCTCCGCTCATGTTGCTGTTCCTTCACTCGAAAATCACCTTTGTCTGTTTGCAACCTCTTTAATGAGACAACAGCTAGGAAAGCTTGATTAATTTGGGAAGAATATTAAAATAATGCAGAACTTATACTGGAAGGAAACTGGGTAGAAAATGAATTCAATAAATATAAATAATTGAAAGTGGCATACGAAAAGGTGTAACTCTCACCTCTCTAATCACATATCACACACACACATTTTGCTCTCTCCTGTATCCTTTTTCTTCCTCTCAGTCGCTAGTTTTGGTGAGTAATACCGTCCTTAGGGGTCATCCGGCTTTCTTTTCCCTCTTCGGTTGAGGCTGTTGTGTCATTTGAGATAGAGTTGATTCAGGTTTCCCCAAATCTTACGAAATTGGGATTGACAGCGAAGTCTAGTATGGACACACCTCATATACGTTGTGTACCACAGACAAGATTGCGTAATTCTTGTCTATGGCCATAGTAGTTTTGTCTTTGCGTCCAAGTGTAACTTCGAAATCAGGCTTGAATAAAAACTCCTTCGATAAAATGCACAACACTGATGATAACTTTAACAACATGTTTATTGAATTTAAAGAAAAACTGGTTGAATCAAATGCTTCTATTATCTACTGCAAATCAAGTTCTCTATTGTAGGATGTTGATTTGGGAAATCTTGTCACAAACGCTAAAGTAATAACCAGCCAGTAAACTATCTCTCAATTATTGTGTCTGCATTTTTTGCTCCGTTTATGTTGGGTCAGATTCTCCGAATCTCGCTTATATAGACGACCCCACACAAAAAATTATAATTGATATACCTAATTTTTTCACCTCGACCGTTTTAATCTTAGAAGACCTTGTAAAAAAATATGATACTCTCTTTGTTTAGAATCTTCCTTGATATCTTTCTGTAAATATAATTGTGTTCTTGGGCATGGATAGGGTTGGGAACCTTGGTTTTGTTCAATTTTACTGAATCTTAACTTAGTTCGATTCTCCTTGGAACTGTTAAAAATTGTTTTCTTATATTAAAACACTATTTTTACTTCGTTTCTTTTTTCATTTTTTTTTAAACATTCAACCTACACTTCTAAGAATTTTAATAATTATTATCCAGTTGGTAGTCCCTCCAAATCATCATTCTGTATTTTCATGCAATTGAACGTTTAAAGTCTTAAAGTTTTTAAGTCTTCTCACCAGACTTCTTCAACCTTTCCAGTGAAGAAATCCTTTAGAGAATTAGAAGTCCTACAAAGGTTAGAAATTCTGCATTTTCCGTCCTCTATTAGAATACTTTCTAAATATTTAAATTTTGGTATTTGCTTGATTTTAGTTTCTCCAATTTGTAATTCGCATATTGAGATGCCCCTTTTGCTAACAACCATACATTATGTCTTCGAGCAATTAATGTTTAGACCTTTCTTCTCACTTTCATAAGAATACATGTAGTTTCCTTTCTGTGTCTGTTACCAACAGTGTATCGTCTAATTTTGCTAAGATTGTGACCACCAATAATGATTCCTGCCAAAATCCTAACAAAATTAGCTGACACAGTGTTGATAGCTGTAGGTCTTCTTGATGAACGAGTAGTTGTATGTCTGAAACCAGTTATTTTTAATGAATGACATATGCACGAGTAGGTGATGAAAATTTCCCGCCCCGACCAAGAAATTCTTCCTCACCCCACCCCCAAAAATCCGCGGTTTCACAAATATGGTCTCTCTCTTGAGAACGTAATGGAAGCATATGTTGTTATGGTAAGACGAGACAAGTGAGGCGCCATTTAAAGCGGTTTAGTGTCGCGTTACTACAACGGAAATTATATATATATATATATATATATATATATATATACATACATACACAAGGTCTGATAAGAAAAAATTATCGGGACTGTTTCTACGGTAACGGAGAGTAAAGCCGCTTGGCACAGACAGGCTGTGAATACTGTCGCGTATACACACTAAATTATAACGTTCTCGCTCATTTCCGTTGTTTTGCTTGGAAGGAAAGTGTGGTCGTCTGGTCACACCAAAGAGGTTCTATCAGTGACCATGGCTTGTGCAGAAGTTTTTGGCCAAGAACAACATTTTCCAGGTCCGACAACAACGATATTCCTTAGATCTCGCCCTTTGCGACTTTTTCCTCTATCCAAAAATCAAATCCTACTTGAAATGAACAAGATTTCAAGTCGTTGAGGCAATCCAAGAGAATGCAACGAGACAGCTGCTCGCTAACCAAAAAAAAAAGTAGCTCCAAGAATGCTTCCATCAATGAAAACAACACTGGATAAAGAGTGTGGCTTCAGTAGTTGACTACTTCGAAGGAGATTAAATGGCGAATTGATATATGTTGTAGTTTTCTTTTTATGACACAAGTCCCGTCACTTTTTGATCAGACCTCGTATATAAGGATATTTATGTGCAAAATGTTATGTAAATAGTATTTTGCAGGTTATTTAAAGCCAGGAAATATTTTAGATTGTGAGAATTTTCTTTCTTTTCTTTTTTAGAGAATAATCGATTTAGTGATACAAGTCTTACTAATTAATCCATAACAAGGAGAAGAGGTTTATTCATACCTTTCCCAAGTGTATTTGAGAATAAAAGAATGTAATGAACCCTATTGAAATTGGAACTCAGCTCCCTGAATAACAATTCCGAGCCATTATCCATTACACTAACCGCATATCCAAGCCTACAGCACCTCATATTCCAAAGTGGTCACCCATCAGCTAGGTTTCGACGTTGCTTAACTTCGGTGATTGTATGGGAACCGATGTTTCAACGTGTTGTGGACTGATACTTGTATATAAATAGGTTAATTAGTTTTATTTCTAAAAAAAACTCTTATAATTTCGTCATGATTTTTTTCACTCGTAATAACTAACATACTTGTCATTAAGTCAGGGACTTAAAGATGGAGAGAAAGCCTTTAAATGTTTCACCAGAAGCTGCTTTGTTGTCACTGCACTTAATGCTTCTCAACCGACTGCATAGCTCGCATATTATAGAGTGTAAATTTCAGATCAAAATTCACTTTTAAACGATCAGATTACGAATTTAAAAATAAGCCTTATGTGTATCTAATTGTTTACATGATTAATTCCACTCAAACGGCCCTAGAATAATTCGAAACGTAAACGTTACCGTCCAACAAAATAACCATTAGAATAATACAATAGACTACCCAAAATGCATACTGACTGTATATATAAATAATCGAGCAAAATCACAACACATATGACCTGATGATGTCGCCTGTGGGTGTTGACTTCAATGTCTACTTTTATATTTACATATGGAATATGTATATATGTATAAATGCTATATTTATGGGTTAAAGTGATAATGAGCACTTTAACCCATAAATATAGCATACCTTAAAACTATATTTTATCATTGTGTGTGTGTGTGTATATATATATATATATAATTCTGAGAATTAACGTGATTTTTCAGTTGACCGAATGAATATACAATTCTTCTAGTTACTAACGACATTTTGTTTATAGATACTTTGTTTCAATAAATTCATTTCATTTTTGCCTTGAAAAAGTCCACATTCGACGAAACGCGTCGGGTAAAACTACACAGTTTTTCTATTGTTTTTCCCCTATACACACACACACACACACACACACACATATATGAAATTTTAATAATCGAAGGTTCTGAAGACAGGGAGCAACAGACGAGTATACAAGTGTATTAACACATTCACTTGTTTGGCGGATTTTATTTTGATCTATTTTAAGCAAAATAGAAATTATCTGTCCTGTAAAAACGTGATGTGATGGGGGCAAAATAGACATGATTTTCAGATTTAGCGTGAAAAAATAGCCCAAAAAACATGTGCTAAATGCCCAACAACTTTTGGGTCGAGAAAAAAAAATCTCAACCGGTGTAATCAAACACAAATAAATCATAAATAGATCCGCTTTTGAAAAAATAAACCACTTTGTCTGAAGATTGCGAAAG